CCCTCAGCCTGCTATGCTCTGAATAATCCAGGAGAGAGACTATTAAAAACTCAGTGCACAAAGACATGGACCAAGTGCAGAACTTCCCTCCAGGAAGCTCTGCTGCATTGCTTTTCAGCCAGAGACTCACTGTGTCAAGGGCTGGAAAGGTTTCTCCCACAACAAGCTCTCCTCTCTCCTTCACACTGCTGTTCACCTCTCACTGCCTTCTCTTCTCTGCTGTCTGCAGCAGCAGGCAGTGCCCGCAGCCCTGCTGCTCTTGGCACAGGAGCTGCTCCTGCACTCGGCTGTCTCTGGGCAGTGCTGCCCGGCTGCCACAAGCTGCCTCCGTCCCAGGAGCCTGGCCCCGCTCAGGAGCAGAGGCCCAGCTGAACTCACCAATTTCTCTGTCCCTTGTGCTCCCTCCTCCTGGGTAATATCCATGAAGTAATCTAAAAGTCACATTTGACCTTTCCTAATGAGTGGAGAGAAAAGGATTCCCATCTTGTCATCTATTTCATCAGGGGATGACTATCTATGCAAGTTAGAAATGTCTCACTCTGGAAGGCCTTAGTTAGGAAGCTCCTAATAGTCAGGACACCCAGAAAGGAGCAAGAAGGGGGCTTATGGTTGTAGATGAGTCAATCTAGGCATCCCATGGTGGTTCAGAAGCCCCTGATCTAGGATGAGACACACATTCCTCCCATGAACTCCACAAACACACAGAAGGTGGGATTCTGCTTTCCCATGCTGAAGTGTGCACAGCACTGACATGTGCATGGGTGCTCCTTCTCTGAGCTCCCCTTGTAATCACTGGTGATGGAGGGTGCAAGTCAGATGACAACACACAAACACCTGGTTGAAGAGACAGAGGAGGTAGGGAAAAGGTGCCCCTGTTTGCTTGCTCTGATAGAGCAAATGTGACACCTGCATCCTCATGGAGCTTCAGGAGAAGGCCACATGGGGAAAGTCCTTGGCCATCTCAAATGACCCCAGATGCCTTCCACTACTATGTGAGCACCATGCAGTATAAAGCAGAGACCTGGGCGGATCATTACAATGCAAAAAGTTCATATAATTCAGTGCAGACATTTGATTCAGGCACACAGAAATAAGCTGCAAGGCCGAAACAGATGCCTGTGTTGTCCAGCATAACCGAATGTCTCCTCTAGGAGACACAGCGTGGGATCTATGGGAAGCCATGTCCCTTTGGAGTTGGAGCTGGACAAGTGTCCTAGGGCATCTCAGGTTCCCTCCCAGTGCTCAAACACCTGGATCCCACCACTGCCTTTAGGCCAAGTCCAAGTCTATCCCTCCTACAGCTGAGCATGCTTCATAGATGCTCATAGAGGCACATCACACCAAGGGGTCTGCTCTCGTCTCTGCACTCTTAAAAGCTTCTCGCTTTGTTCCCACGCAACCTCCTTTCACCCCGGAGGACATGATGAGGCTAATGATGACCCCAAGATGACTGGATCACAGCTGGCTCAAGCCTAAGGATATCTTCAGAGGCATCTTCTCCTGCCTGGAGATTGGCTCACCTCTGTCCCAGGCCCCAAGGTGCTACAGATCAGCTCCTGCAACAACCCCCTCTCCTGTCGTTCCCTCACAGGCCAGCTCTGTTTCTCCCTGCTCTTGGGCACTGCACCCTTGGCTCTCTTAGTGGGAACCTCCTCTTACCATTGCATTGACACCTGCTCTCCATGGCAGCATGGCTCCACTTTCAAGTGGGGCCATTGAACACAGCGTCTTTGGCTCTTGCTAACCGGCCAGTCTTCTGTGCCACTCCTGATGTTTTGCAGACCAAATATGTGCAAGTGCCTGGAGGCACTCAGTAAGAGGAGGAGTGGGCAGGTCCTTTGTGCGGAGGGGCAGCTTGGATGTAAAAAATCCTTCCACGGCATGGAGAAGGGTTTGGGTAGGTGCATGTGGGTGAGCATCAGATGAAGGGTGACATCATGCTGGGAGCTACAGACCATGCAGTCAAGCTGATAGATAGGTGACAGCTCCTTTAAGCAACATGGGAAAGTTTGTGAATCACAGGCCCTGATTCTTACTCAAGTAGGGGCAGGGCACAGAGGGACTTTAATCCCTTTTGCATTTATTGGAATGGCAAAAAGCAGGGTTCAAACAGGCCAGGAGAGTGCTGGAGAGCATCAGGTACAAATTCTTAGCACACGTGCACTGTAGACAAATGCTTGTGACTGATAGTTTCTTGTGTTTGGATTTTTACATACAGGGAGGAAAGCATCAGATACGGGCATAATTAGTGTCATACTTCCCTAAAGTGAGCAGAAAAATGTGGAATTCCATATCCAGTAGAGGAAGGACAGAGTTGCAGCACAGACCCTGGATTTCAGCAGAATAGGTTTGACTGTTCAGCGAACTGTTGGGAGTTTCCATGAGAAGCAACTCTGAAGGGCCCAGGGCTTTAGGGAC